AAGCTGATATCATGAAACAACACATCTTTTCAGGATGAGGTAGCAGCCCCAAGCCCCGGGGAAAGGGAGCGGGCGCATCGCTCAACTGCAACTACTTTGGACAACTGAGCAACATGAGCAGGCTAAAAAAAAAAAGTCATATCCAATCATCTTCAAAATAAAAACTGTAGTAGCTACAACACGGTTCTCTAAGGGCGGGATGGGAGGAGATGTGGAAATATTTGTATGATGCAGTCTTCATGGGTAATGCAGAGAATATGGGCCAAAATGAGATCAACGTGGCTCATAAGCCAATGGGTCAGTGTCAGCCATTGCTTAAAAACCTTCAATGGCTGCTTGTTGCCTTTAGAAGCCAATCCAAACAGCTTTAGTGACATAAAGGAATGCTCATGATTTCAACACACAAACTTTTTAAAAGCAGCACACAAAATTATATGTGAAGAATGATCCCAATTTTTAAATAAATATACTTACACATTCATTCAAAATTATCTTTACTAAGCATATGCTAGCTGTTGAGCACTATTCTTAGAGCTTGTAATCTAGTGGAGGAAGACGACCAATGAGGACACAATGCATAAAATACCAAGGGTAAGAAGAGAATTATCTGTTGCTTTCTAAAGCGCATTTTCAGTGCTTGAGTCACTCAATCCCAATGACTCCCCAAAGTTTAACTGAAATGTTAAGAAAGATTTTGCCTCTTTCCCATTAAACATGAACTAGAAAGACAGGCACTGCTGTGCTGTACTGTGGCCCTCCATGGCAGACGCTAGCCAGGATTGAAGTCAACACAGAAAAAGAAGGCCAAGAGATGGAAAGTGGAATTTGATTCTGATTATCCCATTTGAGCCCCTGTATCCAGCCATTCCTAAAGCTACCATGTAGTTTGGGTCACATTTGCAGTCTTGCCTACGAACAGTTCTAACTAATACATCCAGTGAAGAGAATCTGGGGTGGAAGCTGCAATCTGCGTTGTTAATTAGGTCCCCATGTGAATAATCATTGAGAAGAACTGGCTGGAGAACATAGGCTGACAAACTTTTTCTGTCAGGGGCCAGTGAGTAAATATTGTTGACTTCACCTGTTGCAATACAAAAGCATCCACAGGTGAATGTGTATAGTAGCTGTGTTCTAATAAAAGTTTATTTATAAAAGCAGGCAGTGGGCTAGATTTGGCCCACTGGCCATAGTACCAATCCCTGCTTTAGCTCTAGAGCTATAAGTAAAGAGAACAGTACCATACCTGGAAGGAAGGGTTGATAGGATTCAGTGTTTTTCCAAGATCTGGGAAATCTGAAACCATTTAATAATTTAGGAAAAGAAGCCAATATGGTTTTAATAAGAACTAATATCTATTGAGGGCTTGCTATGTGCTAGATGCTATGCTAACAAACATAATAACATTTAGGATGCTTGGGTTAGCAAAGAACAGAAAATCTGACTCATACAAATTTAAATACTATAGAAGATTTGTTATTTCATATAAGTAGCTCTGAGGTAGGATCCACTCCATAACTGGAGTCTCAGTGACTTCGTGATATGTTCAAGGACCCAGGCTCTTTCCATCTCATGCCTCTGCCTCCCTCAGAGCTTTGGCTTTGCCTGCAGGTAACTCCCTCCATGACAAGATGGCTGCTGCAGCGGTCCCAGGACTCTTAACCAGACCAAACAATCTTTAGAAGAAACAGAACGTCCCTTCCTCTGCCTGCTTCTTAGGAACAATGAAATCTTTTCCAGAAGCCCCTCCACATCAGAATCCTTCCCTCTCATCTCTCATTGGTCAGAATTCGATCATGTGCCCACTCTTAAGCTGATCGTTGGCAAGAGCAATGGAATTTCCAAGATTAGTTGAGACTAATCAGGAATCACGTCCTCATCTAGGCTATGTTAAAAGTGCAGAGAAGGATGTGGAGGATGTATAAATACCTGAAATCAGGGTTCTGTTAGGAAGTAGGGGTATGGGGACCAGGAATGGATATTGCAATAAGCAACCACAGCTGATATCATTATGTAATATTCTTTTTCGTTTTTACAGATGGGAAAAATTCAGCAAGGGGGAAGTGACTTGCCCAAGGTCATACAACTAATATGTGAAAGAGACTGGATTCAGACCCAGGTCTGAGTCTACAGTGCTCAAGACCTCAGCCTAACACACTGAAGTGCTGTTGTAGAGCTGAAGATGTTAGGGAAGAGCAGGATAGTGCCAAAGGTTGCCTCACAATCAAGTAAAATTGAGCCAGTTATTAAACCTGCGATGTGACCAGACCTCCCAAACAGGTCTGAGCTTCTGCTGTGTAACAAACAACCTCTTAAGTCAGTGTGTAAAACCACAGCAATTGATTTAGCTCACAATTACATGGGTCGGCAATGGGAGCTGGGCTCTGGTCTCAGGTGGACTCACTTGTTCCTCTTTGGTCCTCTGCCAGTTACCTAGCAGATCAACTAACTGGGGGCTGGCTGATCTAAGATGGCCTCAGGTGGGATGGTTTCCTTTTGCTCCTTGTGGTCTCTCACCCACCAGCAGAGTGCCAGGAGGGAGAGTGGAAATATATAATGCCTCCAGAGAACTAGCTCAGACCTAGGAAAAGTTGCTTTTTGATTAGGGACTGAGCTGAAAAAGGATTGTCTTTCCTCATCCCACAGACAGATCGATACTGTAACACTTGTGCGACAACATGATGCCCCATTCCCATGGCTGTAGTTCACAGAGTGTTCAGATAGGTTAGCCTATGTTATGGCTAACACATCACCCGGACTCCTGGAGAACAAGGACTCTTAACTAGATGTGGGACGTTAATTTAGTACAGAGTTGGAAAAGCAGAGCCACGGTCAATAGATCAAGAATGGGATAAGAAAACATGAGAAGAGCATCTGAAAACCAAATATTTAAACTCAAACAAAATTACACCATCCATTTGTGTTACCCTCCTCTGAAAACATATTCCATATGGTAATTAAGAGACCAGAGCCATATTTTCTCCTATCCTGGGAAAGTGAGTATAAGATACACATTCATTCATCAAAATTTTTTGTGCCAAACTCTGTCAAGCATGAAATTAACTACATTCTTCCCTATCAAGTTGCTGTCTTTAAAAATATCTGACAGAATTACTTGTGTTTTCTTTATAGGAACCAAGAAAGATTCCCCTCAACATCAGAATTTTATTTGCAAAATTATTAAAATATATGATCTAAGCCATCTGAAAATATTGATGTCTTTTTTTCTGAATTCACTCACTGCTATCATTAGCAGTTTAAATCCATGGCTGTATGTAGGCATTTAAATCACTTCCTTAATTTCTAAGGAGAAGCAGTGAGCCCAAGCAAGCTGCATTTCATTTTATGAGCCCCATTCAGAAATTTACAGTCTTTAGGTATGAATTTACACAGCATGAAGCTTGGCCCACTGCATTTCTGAAAGTGGAATTTGGCTCACGTGAATTCTCATAACAAAAGAGGAATTGCCAAAACAAGCAACTTTCTCTAAATACAGGTGAAATAATATTCTTACAGAGTAAATCTTCACAATGTGAAAACACACAAAGTTCACTAAATGTTCTCTAAAACCGTTTTCCATAGAACTGAAGCCGTAAAGAGCGACTGAGTCACGATCGTGGGGGGAATCCCTCCCTTTTGTCATGATGAGGGAGACACCAGAGAGAACTCTGAGGACCCCAAGGTGAAATGTGCCCACCCCGGTGGCAGGGTAGCCTGCAACGTGAAGTTCAGTTGGCTTGAGTTATCTCAGCTTCTACAGCTTGAAAGGGGGCACAAATATCAAAAGTGCTCGTGAATATGAATATAGGGAATCTATAGAATATAAAAATATAGAAAATGAGGACAAAAGCTATCTACTGTATTGTTGAATATTCACTGTGAATTTTCTTGTTGAAAATATCAACTTTTAATGTGCCATTTGTAATTATGTTGCAGCTAAGCAATTTATAATATATGCAATTAATAGATGGCCATATGGGCCATTAAAAATGCCAAGCAGTTAAACTACATTAATACTGAAATTTATATTTGTAATAAAGTTTTTAAAATGTTTAAGAGCACTTGAGTTAAGCATCATCAAGTAGTAAATATTAACAAAGAAGTTAAAAACACATGACCTGGGTGAGGAGGGTGGGAGGGGAGATAAATGCAGACAACTGTAATTGAACAACAATAAAATAATTTAAAAAAAACATGAGCCCTGACTGGCGTAGCTCAGTGGATTGAGCATGGGCCTGCAAACCAAAGGATCACGGTTCGATTCCCAGTCAGAGCACATGCCTGGGTTGCAAGCCAGTTCCCAGCAGGGGACACATGGGAGGCAACCATACATTGATGTTTCTCTCCCTCTCTCCTTCCCTTCCTCTCTAAAGATAAATAAATAAAATCTTAAAAAAACACACACACACACAAAAAAAACCCATGACCTAGTGGAATCATTCTGTTTAGAATAAAAAGGTCGTATTCCAGCAGAATATTTTAAACTATATTAATATCTAATGATACAGGAACTATCAAATAAGTTATGGTAAATTCATATGGTGGAATATATGCATCCATTAAAATAATATTGTAGAAATGTATTAAATATAAGATACATGGCATATATATTATATAAATAATATATCTATTTCTTGACATAGAAAAATACTTTGATCATGCTGTCAAATGAAATAAGCTTTATAATATAATATTACTGTACAAATTTATTTCTTAACAGGAAAATATATAGTACATGCATATTTAAACATCTAAGAGAAATATATCAAAATGTAATGTGAGGTTTTTTTTAGATAATGGGGATTTCTCTTTCTTCTTTTTTCATATACTTGTATTTTCTACTTCTTTATAGAATGAGCATCTATTACATGTAATAACACAGTAAAAATATTGGGTTTTAGCAAGCTTAAACCCAATATTTGTATATTCTTGTATTTATATTTATATTATTTGTATATTTTTATTGGTATAAAAATATAAAAAAGAATGAAGCAAATGCGCCAAACCTCCCAGGATCGCATCTGGAGGATGGTTAATGCTCTGCCAGCTTCGGAGACAAGAGGGAAAACAAGCTTGGCAGAGGTGCCCATTCCATTCCCCGCCTGCTCTGTAGCTGCTGGTTGGAAGACACTCTGCAACAACGTTAAAATAAAAAAAAAAAAGAAATTCACCAAATGTCAACAATGGTGACCACTAGATGATGGCATCATATTTTTATTTTCCTCTTTAACTTTGAGGTTTTCTGAATTTTCCACCAAGAGCATATGTTAAAATCATAATACATATTACTAATATATATAATTTCACCACACATTGATTGAATGGGCAGGGGGAAAGAAATGGTTACATAGGAGAAAATTTGAAGGCTCCCTTCAATAAACTAAAAACAAAAATGACTGCAATATCATCAACTACTATAGATTCTTTCTTCAGAAAAAAATCTAATTGTCAATAGCAGGATTACTAAATAAGCTGATAAAGGTTTAATTGACACCTTTATATTGGTTGAAGTGGTGCTAGGATCTCTGACTCAACAGTGCCCCCTTCCTGTGGTCACAGCAGCTTTCTCTGAGACAAGGACAGCCCTATGCCAAATTCAAGAGAGAAACTGGAGCTTCAGAGGGCTTCCTTGGGTCCCTGGCTGGGTAGCTCAGTTGGTTAGAGTGTCATCCCAATATGCCAAGGTTGTGGGTTTGATTCCCACTTAGGGCACACACAAGACGCAACCAATGGATGAATAAATAAGTGGAACAACAAAGCAAGCTCTCTCCCTCTCAACAAATTTTTACAAAGCGGGGTTCCCTGAGTAACTGGGCTCAGAGTCAGTTGGAGATGTGAATCAACAACGGCCTGTGTGGAAATGACTTCAGAATCTTAGCTGACAATGGGCTTGGCATGAGTCATCTACTGACATGGGCTTTCAGCTGAATTCAGAGCAGGATTCTATTGGGAATGAGGGTTATGATGCACCCCCCCTTCTACCTGCAGCTCATCAGCCTACAGGAGAGCAATATTTTCAGTTCTGAGTGCTGTACTCTAAAAGGGACAAAGGGGAAAGGAATCAAAATGCTGAGGGGCTTCAAGTCATGTCCCATGCAGAATGCTTGGAAAAGTGGAGAAAGAAAACTCAGAGGAACACATCAGCTGCCTTAAAATAACACATTCCGGTGAATTAAACTTGTTCATGTGATTCTGCATTCCCATGTGCAGGAACTAGGATTGGAATTCTATTGAGACAGACCTTGAGGTCAGAGGAAGGCTTCTTGAGTAGTTTTGATAAGTAGAAGATACACTGGCCCTGAACCTGCTCCTCAAAGTGTGGTCTGTGGAACCACAACATAGATTTCTTGGGAAACCCATTAGAAAAGTGGTGGATCTCAGGGCCAGCCCAGACCTACTGAATCAGAACATGCACTTTAAAAAGATGGTCAGGAAAGCCCTGGCTGGTGTAGCTCAGTGGATTGAGCGTGGGCCTGAGAACCAGACAATCGCAGTTCAATTCCCAGTCAGGGCACATACCCGGGTTGCAGGCTGGTTCCCTGCAGGCCAGTTCCCAGCAGGGGATGCATGAAAGGCAACCATACATTGAGGTTTCTCTCCCTCTCTCCTTCCCTTCCCCTCTAAAGATAAATAAATAAAATCAAAGGTAAATAAATAAAATCTTTAAAAAAAAAAAAAAAGATGGTCAGGAGACTCAAATGCACATTCAGGTTAAAGGGACACTGGTCCAGACTGCCTTCCTGGGGAGGGAATAAGTGGTCTTTTGCTCTCACAAGAACTCTGAGCAAATCAAGATGAAATCTGCCTACTCCATGGTAGAGAGAAAGTCAAGGCTGAGCTACCCTCATTCAAGATACTATCGAAAACTCAAAAACTAGAGGACTGTCCGAGAAAGATTTATGAGTAAGAATGTTCATTGATGCAGAGTTTGAATTTAAAAGAGAAAAAGAAAATAAGCTAAATCTGCTAAAAACTATAAGAAAACAAGCAATCCCTAAAAATATCTTAGATGAGAAGTTAAGGACTATAAAAGTGTTCATAATACTGTACATAAAGGGAAAGCAAACTATAAAATAATATACACAGTGTGAGATTTGCCATACAAGCTTAACATTAACTTAAAATAATTATGAACAAGTAAAAAATATTATTAAAATGTTATGTAGCTTATGGAGACTGATTGTTTTTTTTAAATGTTTATTATAGAAGTAATATTTGCTATTATAAAAGTTGGGAAATGGTAAACACTATAAAGACTAAAAACTTTTTTAAATGATTTTATCTATTTTTAGAGAGGGGAAGGGAGGGAGAAAGAGAGGGAGAGAAATATCAGTGTGTTGGTTGCCTCTTGTGCCCCTTACCTAGCCAACACCCAAGGCACATCCCCTTGGGAATCAAACCAGTGACCCTTTGGTTTGCAGGCCAGCACTCAATCCACTGAGCCACACCAGCCAGGGCTAAAAACAATTTATTAGCTAGTACTCAAAGATCACCATTGCCATATTGCCTTTTATTCCTTATTCTATGCAAACTACTCTTTAAGTAATTATTTTCCTGATTGATGTAGAAAATTTGGAAAATTAGAAGGGTATGAAGGAGAAAATTTTATATATTCAAACATAATCATTATTAATATTTCTATCCAGCTTTTGTTTTTATACATAAATGTAAATCAATTTTATATCCATATCTTTCATTTACCTTGAGACTGTTTCTTTTTTTTTTTAAGATTTTATTTTTTTATTTTTAGAAGGGAGAGAGAAAGAGAAGGAAAATCGATGTAAGAGAGAAATATCAATTGGTAGCCTCTCACATGCCCCTAACTGGGCACCTGGCCTGTAACCCAGGCATGTGCCCTGACCAGGAGTCCAAATGGTGACTTTTAAGTTTTTAGGACAATGCTCAACACCAGTCAGCGGGGAGACTGCTTCTATATCATTAAATATTATTGAACACAAGTTAGGTGACTACATTGCATTTTATCCTGTGAATATAATTGATTTACTGTCCATTCACATATTAATATTTAAGTTGTTTCAAATTTTCCACTAGTTTCAATGTATGATGAATCCTCTTGCTTATAAATCTCTGGTTACTTTATTGAAATGAGTCCCAGAATTGAAGTCAAAGGGCATGAACTCTTTCCAGCTATAACCTTTTCCTAGAAAAATGATGCTCTTCATCTCCCTGCCTGCCCATGAGCTTTTCTTTTCCTGGAAGCTGACAGTGGACTGGTAAATTCTCTGGACTTAGAGATATTATTGGAATTAATTTTTTAAGTGACATACATATTCAGTTTCTTCCATACTTGCTTGCTTTGTCTGATATGCAATCTTTTCATTAATAAATTTGGGTAATTTATATTTCCCCAGAAAAAATTTTCCACTACATGAAGCATTACAGATGTGCCTGACTAGTGTGGTTCAGTTGGTTGGGCATCCTTCTGCAAAGTGAAAAGTCACTGGTCAGATTCCCAGTCACGACACATACTCAGGTAGCCATTTGGGTCCCAAGTCTGGATGCACACAAGAGGCAACTGATCAATGTTTCTCTCTCACATTGTTTCTCTCCTTCTCTTTCTCCCTCTCTAAAAATAAATAAATAAAATCTTTTTAAAAAATTAATTGCAGATGTACTAGAATACTGCTGAACATGATAGGCAGTTAATGTCTTCCTATCTGATATTATATTCTCTTCCTCATTTCTAATTCTAGTTAGTGTGGGTTCCACACCCTTTTTTTAACTTAATTAGATCATCACATTATTTTCGTTTTTCAAAGAATCAGCCCTGCCAGACCTGGGAGCACAGGCAGTGTGGGGCTGACCGTAGTCACACATTCGAGCACAGATAAACTAGGCAAAAACGGGCAGCAAGACAGACCATTCAACCCAGGGCCTCAGTGACAGGAAATAAAGCCTAAAAGCACTGATTGAAAAGGTGCCAGGAGAGACTCCAGCCTCGCAGGAGAGTTTGTTGGAGAGACCCACAGGATCCTAGAACATACACAAACCCACCCACCTGGGAACCAGCACCAGAAGGGCGCAATTTGCTTGTGGGAAGCAGCAGAGGGGACTGAAATCCAAGAGAGAGCAGAACAAGTGCCATTGCCCCCTCTCTGACCCGCCCCCACATACAGCATCATAACCCAGAGACTGGGTTGCCCTACACTGGTGAACACCTAAGGCTCCGCCACTCATATGTAACAGGCGTGACCTGACCAAAAATGGCTAAATCAGAAGAGCAAATCAAAAGCCCCAGAGCCAATACTTTTAAGCAACCAAGAGATAGCCAACCTATCAGATGCACAGTTCAAAACACTGGTGATCAGGATGCTCACAGAACTCATTGATTTTGGTTGCAAATTAGATGAAAAAAATGAAGGGTACACTAAGTGAAATGAAGGAAAATGCACAGGTAACCAATAGTGATGGAAAGAAAACTGGAACTCAGATCAATGGAGTAGACCAGAAGGAAGAAACAAACAACCAAACAGAAAACAATGAAGAAACAAGAATTCAAAAAAATGAGGAGAGGCTTTGGAACCTCCAGGACATCTTTAAATGTTCCAACATCCGAATTATAGGGGTACCAGAAGGGGAAGAGGAACAGCCACGAGTGGAAAACCTATTTGAACAAATAATAAAGGAGAACTTCCCCAATCTGACAAAGGCAATAGACTTCCAGGAAGTCCAGGAAGCTCAGAAAGTCCCAAAGAAGGTAGACCCAAGAAGGAACACACCAAGGCACATCATCATTACATTAGCCAAGATTAAAATGAAGGAGAGAATACTAGAAGCAGCAAGAGTTAAGGGGACAGTCACCTACAAAGGAGTTCCCATCAGACTGTCAGTGGATTTCTCAAAAAAAGACCTTACAGGCAAGAAGAGTCTGGAAAGAAGTATTCCAAGTCATGAAATGCAAGGACCTATATCCAAGATTGCTCTATCTAGCAAAACTTTCATTTAGAATGGAAGGGCAGATAAAGTGCTTCTCAGATAAGGTCAAATTCAAGGAGTTCATCATCACCAAGTCATTATATGAAATGTCAAAGGGACTTATCTAAGAAAAAGAAGATAAAAAATATGAACAGTGAAAAGACAGCAAACTCAGTTATTAACAACCACACCTAAAACAAAAGCAAA